TATGGGGGTGTATATTAATTATGGGGGTGTATTAATTATGGGGGGTGTATATTAATTATGGGGGGTGTGTATTAATTATGGGGGGTGTATTAATTATGGGGGTGTATAATAATTATGGGGGTGGATATTAATTATGGGGGTGGATATTAATTATGGGGGGGTGGATTAATTATGGGGGGTGTACATTAATTATGGGGGAGGTATTGGGGGGTGTATATTAATTATGGGGGAGGTATTAATTAGGGGGGTGGATTAGTGTGGATTAATTAAGGGGGTGGATTAATTAAGGGGGTGTGGATTAATTAGTGTGGATTAATTAAGGGGTATGGATTAATTAAGGAGTGTGGATTAATCAAGGGGGGTGTGGATTAATTAGTGTGGATTAATTAAGAGGTATGGATTAATTTAGGAGTGTGGATTAATTAAGGGGGTTGTGGATTAAGGGGGTGGATTAATTAAAGGGGGTGTGGATTAATTAAAGGGGGTTGCAGCGCGGGAAGGTTTATTTAAGGGGGTAGGTTTAATTAATGGGGGGTGCAGGTTTTTTTTAATTAATGGGGTTGCAGTATTTTATTTATTAAGGGAGGATGTGCACTGCAGATTTTTGTTAAGGGGGTGTGCAGGATTTTAAGGGGGTGTGCAGGTTTTTGTTATTAAAGGGGGTTGTGCAAGTTTTTTTTATTTAATAAGGGGGTGTGCAGGATTTTAAGGGGTGTGTGCAGGTTTTTTGTTATCAAAGGGGGTTGTGCAAGTTTTTTTATTTTTTTATTAAGGGGGTGTGCAGGGTGTTTTATTAAGGTGGGTGTGCAGTGTTTTTTATTAAGGGGGTTGTGCATGGTTTCTGTTTTTTATTAAGGGGGTGTGCAGTGTTTTTGTTTGTTTTTTTTAAATTAAGGGGGTGTGCAGGGTTTTTATGTGAAGGGAGTGTATGAAATTTATGTTGTCAGTGTGCAGGATTTTTATATGAAGGCCGAAGGGCAGGGGTTTTCTAGAAGGGGCGAGACAAGGGGCTTTGTAGAAAGGGGCAGAGCAGGAGTTTTCTAGAAGTTTCTCACCTGCCCCTTTCTACAAAAGCACTGGTCTTCCCCCTTCTACAAAACTGGCACATTTATACAAAACTTCTGCCCTGGCCCCCTTCTACAAAACCTCTGCCCTAGCCGCTACATCTTTTGAACCCAAATTCTTTTCCTATGCTGTTTCCAAGGATCGGCTCAATGAAGTGGTCTGGGTGCCAGGTCCCTCTAGTTTTAACCCTGCAGCTGAAAATATAGTTTCAGAGATGTTTCACTGAGGGTTAATCCAGCCTCTAGTGGCTGTCTCACTGACAGCCGCTAGAGGCGCTTCCGCAATTCTCACTGAAAACTCACTGTGAGAAGACGCTGGACGTCCATAGGAAAGCACTGAGTAATGCTTTCCTAAGGGCAGTTTCAATGCGCACGCGGCTCTTGCCGCACATGTGCATTCGGATCTGCCATCGGCAGGGGGAGGAGAGGTCACCAGCGCCGAGGGAGCCCGACGCTGGAGAAAGGTAAGTGGCTGAATGGGTTTAAAGGGGTTAAAACCCCTTCAGCCATTTATCTTAATCCAGTGCCGGGCTCCCTCGGCGCTGGTGAACTCTCCTCCCCCGCCGACATCAGCTCCCGAGTGGCCTTTCTCAATGCCTTCCTATGGACGTTCTGCAAGCTGGATGCGATTTTTGCATCTGGAGGGTTAAAATCTGGGGGAGCTGGCACCCAGACCATTGAGCTGAAGTGGTCTGGGTGACTATAGTGTCCCTTTAAATACCCTGGGTTGTCTACTTTTACAAATGGTATGCCAAGATGGGAAATATAAGACAGATATCGCACTAGCGAACCCTAGAGCCAAAATAAATTTAGTATTTTTCTGCAGAAAACACCAATATGAAGCGAAATCGACCAAGCGGGTCTCAGCAACAAAAAATTAAGAAGGCAAAAGAAAAGTCAGCTGAGGCGATGTCTGGATCAATTTTAAAATATGTTGCACCTTCAACATCTACCGCAGTAGGAGAAAGCGCTGAAGACATTCAGTCTGTTGAATCCAGAGGTGAAATGCCTGAAGTATCTTCTCAAGACGCTTCATATGGGAAAGCGCAAGAATTGGAGAAGATCATTTTATCTTCAAGCGGTGAAAGTGATGTAGATGAAGGCGATGCCAGCAGAAGCCTGCATCAGCAAGACTCTGATGATGATGATGAAGAAGAAGAAGAAGAAGAAGAAGAAGAAGAAGAAGAAGAAGAGGAGACTGTTCGACTGTCAGTTTATTCTGATGTTGCTGCTTGGCCAGTTCCAGTTCCAGATGTTTTAAGAGTGGACCTTATTAAGAGGGGAAGTGAACCTTTCCAAAATAGAGATGGGCCATTCAGTCCTGTTGAAAGGCAAGGAGAGAAATCAAAAGGGAAGAGTCGACAGTTGACCACTGCATGGTTCTATAAGGCTCTGCCTAATGGCGAAAAAATTCTTAGAATGTGGATGGTGTACTCTCCATCAAAACAAAGTTTGTTTTGTTTTTGCTGCAGACTTTTTGCTGTTGATGACAAAGTAACAGGGACATCCAGTTTTGTTACTGGGTTTCAATTGTGGTGGAAGCTGAACCCAAAGGTGTCTGATCATGAGGCTTCTGAGCAGCATCTTACATACTTGGAGAAATGGAAGACCTTGAGAGCAGGATTGAAGCTACAAAAATGCATTGATCATGTCCATCAAACAACAGTGGAAAGAGAGAAAAGGAAATGGAGGGATATTTTGCATCGCCTTTTGGATGTAACTTTGTTTCTGGCTCACCAGAATCTTCCCTTTCGTGGTCATAGAGAGACCATGTCATCCGCAAACAAAGGCAACTTCCTTGAATTGGTAGAATTGCTCTCAAACTATGACCCCATTTTAAAGGAACATTTCATGAGGCTGAAACATGCTGTTGCATCTGGAAAGAGAATGACTTCCTATTTCTCTCCAAAAATTCAGAACGAATTAATTTGTCTGTTGGGAAATCATGTGAAGGACAAAATAGTGGCTGATATCAAGAAAGCAAAGTACTTTGGGATTCTTTTTGACAGCACCCCTGATGTGTCCCACACTGATCAGATGTGTGAAGTGATCAGATATGTTCATATTGAAGGGGACCATGTTGAAGTAAAGGAATCATTCTTGGGGTTCTTTCCTGTTGCTGAAAAGACTGCTGCTGAACTCACAGAAAATATCCTGCAACATCTGGAGGAAGATGGACTAGACATAAGCCTTTGCCGTGGTCAAGGATATGATAATGCTGCAACTATGGCAGGGAAAGCGTATTAACTGTTAAGTAAATGTTAATTATTTAAATTTTATTTATTTCTAAGTTAATTTATTTTTCAAGTTCATATACAGTTTACAAATTTGTGAAATAAATATTATTGAAAACATTGAAAAAATTGTGGGTGTTTTCTTACATTTTTATTATGGGGTGGGGGTGCCACACTCTGGGTCCGCCCCGGGTGCCAAATGCTCTAGGTACGCCCCTGCTCTTACCTACAGATTTTCTTAAACAATAGCATTGATGGCAATTTATTCTCAAGTATGACTTCTAGGATTCGTTTTTCCTCTACATCTGAAGAAGTTGTTTCAAGTTCACACATTTGTTTTTTTTATTCAAGTAATAGGAAAACATATAAGCAAAACTCCTTACTTCAACCATTTAATACACAACCTATTTTATGAAAAAGCTAGCTTGTTGCTAACATTTCTTTTTGTCAAGCTAGCAATCAACATATCTCATTCACGTCACTGGGAGTAAATACTGCTTCTAAAGCAAGCAATGCATTACAGAGTAAAATATAAGAAATAAATCATATACAAAAATTACTACACAGATAATGTGTTTGCATCTCATATCATATCACTCAGAATATGTTGTTCTTTATTTGAAATACCGTTCACAAATAAGCTTAGCAAATTGTGCTCTAGAAAAGTTGATGTGTGTGTGACAAGATGAAACCATACATTTAAAATATCAACATCTGCTTTGAACAGGCTCCGTAGGCTTTTTGTTTTGTTAAAATCCATATTGGTTCCTACTGCTATACTGAACCACCACATATATTTTACAGTTCATACTCTGTTTTAACAGGTCTATCACCTCGTTTGTCTTGAAGATACAATATGAATAGAAGCTCATTTCCTGTATGCAGAAAAAAATGAAAGTTTTGCACTCCTTTTTTTTTTATTTCATCAGTGCGAAGGGCACAGTCAATATTTCAATTTTATCAACCCTTTTCTAGCCAAGGAAACCAGAAGGTCAGCAACAAAAGCCCATTTAGATTTAACACTCCGATTGTTGGCAGATAATAAGAAAGTAATGCATTCAATATATTTCATTAAAGGGTGAAAGGAAACTTATTTATTTTCTAAGAAATAAATGTAAATTCTGAACAATCATGTTATTTTTTTCAATGTGTCAATTGTTGCATGTATCGCAGTGTTTCTATAGCAAACAAATAATATATACAAATGAAAATCCAGCGCACTCCCTTATCTACTAAACAGCTACTTTGGTGCTGACTGATTTAGTTAGTTTTTTAAAACCACCTAATCTAGGCAAAAGATAATGGGGGTTTAGTTACATTATATGATCATACATTGCAATATATATTTAGGAGCCTAACCAACTCCTTGGTTTTGCACCCCTCCCTGGCACAGGTGCCTCATCCCAGGTCAGTATTTAGCCTTGTACTGCAGAGAACTCGAGATGGCATTTTTCCCCCAAGTAAGTAGCTCATTTAGCAGACAGTTGGCTATTAGAGTAGGATCTGCCAAAGATGAGGAACATTGACATTGTGGCAGGCTTATGCAATGTATGATCATATAATGTAACTAAACCCCCATTATTTTTTAAAAAACGAACAATTTGTCAGCACCAAAGTTGCTGTTTAGTAGATAAGGGAGTGCACTGGATTTTCTTTATCAATTCATTATCAATCCTATCAGCGTACATAAGTCATGCTAAAAAGCCCATTCTTGTTGGGCAGAAGTGAAGAGAAAGTAGAAATGGACAAAATCCATGATTTTGGAAAGTGGTACATGCTTAGTCATCACCCATATACATGAGGAGCATATGTTGGAATCCGGCCAGCATTAATATCTGGATTTCAATGGTGATTATACTTATCTAAATATTCAGGTAAATAACACTACAGTTACTGACACAAATTTCAACCTAATAATGTATCTAACCCCTTTTTGACATAGATTTGTGATACACGACATCTACAGAATGATTTCCACTTAATCATATCACTAATTATCTGCAAAACAGTTAGATGTCCATCTGACAAAATTACAAAAATACATAGTGTACTTTAAAAATACCAATACAACCGCACAGGATTATAACAAATAACACATGTTCTCCTATGGGAACACCAATAAGGAAAAAAATTGATATAGAGTAACACGTATATATGATAACATGGCAGAAAATGAATAGAACCACTCATATTACATAAAACACAAAGGAGCATGCTTTACAGGCTGTGAACCACAGGGCTCCGTTGGTAATTCCAAAATAGCAGGAACCCTTCCAACAAATATCGTACTCACAAAAAAAAAAGCTGGTTTGTTAATGATCTAAAAAGCCTGTTGCATGATGCAATATTAAATACTCAGTATGCTTACCAGGATCATCAAAAACCATTGACTTTGGGAAAATGTTATTATATATGTGTGTGTTTGCATGTTTCAGATGAGGAATAGATAGCAATAAACTATTTCAAATTCGTCTCTATTTCTGAAATCACACCTACATGTCATTTTGGCAGAGGGAAATATATAGCCTTGGGAGAGTTCACAAGTAAAGAAAATGACAAAGTACAAAACATTGTGCCTTGAAAAAAAATACTACTACTACTACTACTACTACTACTACTACTACTAATAATAATAATAATAATAATATACATATCATTCAGGCTAAGGAAATGGCTACTTACAACATGTGGGCAAATTCCTTTAAAAAAAATACAAGATTCTCATAACACAGACTAGATTGGAAAAGTTTAGCACTATAGACAACACCTACACAGTACATACACAATACAGTTTTACAGTAAGTACTGTAATTTAAGACAACTGCAACTTTGTAATATTTGATTGGTCAGATTCTAAGCAACATTTTTCAGTTACAAGACTAGTCTTTTTTTTTTCTAAACGAAACTGAAGTCAACATTTCCATGTGTGGTGTACACTCATGCTATGGTATCAAAATGTTTTTCATTATGATGCTTAATAGATTTATATAAATCTGCAAACTTCTCAAAAAGTTTGTTTTGTTTTCAACCTATAAATCATATTTCTATTCCATTATTGAATACGCTTTAAACTTGCATACTATGATCCCAGGTGTCTTTTTATAAAATTCCTGGATTTTTCAAGGAATATTATCACTCCAAACAATAAATATTTTCCCACCAATGGATTTTGATGTTTTTTTATAGATATATGTTTAGTTAATTTATTTGCACTTATAGTTATGTTCTGAATTGACCTACTTATTCTCACAATTTCTTTGATTTCTCAACTCGGAAGTTAAAGGGACATGCCATGCACCAAAACAACTTAATCTAAAATAAATTGTTACAGTGCAAATAGGCCCTTGGAGGCACTCTTATTCAAGGCATTAAACCATTCTCAGACAGCTTCACTCCAAAGTTGCCTCCAGCGGTGATGTCTTCTTCCCTCCAGGTGTCATACAGTTTTGTATTTTCAGATTCGGGAAGTGGAAGTGGAGTGCAGCCGGGCAGGAGTCCGCTGATTGGCTGAAAACAGTCAGCTGACTCTCCCAGCCAATTAGTGACTCACAATTCACTAAACTGGTTTGGAAAAGATATACTTCTTTCAAAGCTAGTTTAGTGAATGGGGAGTCCCTGATTTGCTGAGAGCGTCAGATAACTACTCTATGCCAATTAGCAGTGCTGCTGCCCAGAGAAAACGGTTTAACCCCTTGTGGTACAAGTGCCTCCAGGGGCCTCCTGGAACCATAAAAACTTCATTTAGATTTAGATGTTTTGCTGCCTGGAATGTACCTTTTATATTAAAAGTCATTCTGTTTGTGCAGTTTCGTAAAGTTAATCTTCAGTACATGTCATCAAATAAGGAGGACTTTTATAGCTATGATTGGTATATGAGGTGAGATGTCTTATGTACCTATTTTGTGTTAATTTTGAGTCTTGATTTGTTAAAATTGTTAATAATTTTCTTAAGTAAGAAAATGATAAGCATAGTATTTGCCTCTGTCTCTTTAATAAAGTCATAATGTTACGTACTGACTTAGTAAAATCTATGAATTTACACCGAGGTCCTAGAGCTCTCCTACACTGAGCTTAGCTTGCAAACAATTTGTTCCCAGTGTCCAAAGTAGAAGGAAACAAACTTGGGAACATACATAAATATAACAATCATTATTGTAATTTTTTAATGTTTGGGGATTTAAGGGGGTTGATCAGGGAAAAGACAGGTGGCAGTCAGGGCTGCCTCTTGCTGCTATGCACAGTCAATCAGCAATGCTCTGTGCTCTGTGCTCTGTGCAAACCTGCATCAACAGGCAAGTTAGGGTAGAGCAGCACTAGGTTAGATAACAGTGGAATTTAACTCAACATGGCTGTTAAGCCTGATGAAAAAAGTAAAAATGTTTTACTTTTTATTTAAAAAAAGTGTCACTGACAAAACAAAAATCACCAAAACACTACTAGAATGAGTACAATCATTAGTCACATCATCTCCCCCAGTCATGTAGATAACTAAAGATTTTTACTCATAACTGTATTCCTTTACACGGCTCTTTCAGATGGCAAGAAAGGCTCATCTTAAAATCAACAAAGCTGACAATATTTATAAAAGATCTTAGAAAGGTAACAATTTCAGAAATTAATGTTAGGATGGTTATTATTCAGTTTCTCTTACACTTGTATATGCTGCTCAAATTTAATTTGACAAGATTGTTTAATTTGCTTTGCAATTTAAAGCACATAATGGCATTCTAATCATTGACTGGATTTCATACAATTTAACTTCCAATAT